CGATTCACTACCAATTTTCGAGACATCTTGGCAACTGTCTCTTCGATATTACACTATACACAATATATTGAAGGATATCAAGCACACACGAAACTATAGTCACTACTGAACATTCAAATCACTATTCCTTCCACGATTGGACTACTAGGAACCTGAGAAAACTAGCTGCGCCAATATCGATAAAACACTCATAAATAGCAAATTTTCTCCACAATAATTTCCGTCCCCATCATTCAAATGAACACAAACAAAACTCACAGTAGTCAGTAATGATATTCAATATTTGAAGGAATTTGCTATAGTTTCTGGTCGTTCGCTACCCACTTGTTCCTTCGGAAATCATAACATTTCCACCATCGACTTTGGGGTATTAGCTTCTGTTTATTTTTGACACGGTCAACTATTGTTTGTTCCTTGCTAGACCTCAGATGATTCCAGAAAAATTAAAAAAAAATAAGTTGTCAAAATTTTCAAAATTTTCAAAATTTTCAAAATTTCCAGAATTTTCAAATTTCACAAGATTTCCAATTTCTTTCAATAATCAGGCCCCACGTTGGGCGCCAAAATGTAACGCTACAAATTTCCAAGGTCACAGGGTTAAATCTGTCGATGGACAAATTAGCATTCTCCGGTTCACTGCAGAGGAGATGGGAGTGGGTTTGCAGGTGGAAGTTGGAATAATTGAAATGGGCGCCAGGTAATTTATTTTTCCTCGAATGCCACTAAGTAATCTATCAACTCAATTTACCAAACAGTTCCTGATAGAAAACAGACAGTTTCACCAATGAAACACAGGTGTAATATTCTGACAATATTTATTCCAAAAATCCAGCAAGGAACCAATTCCAGAGTCGATGGTGAATTGAAATGGTACACGTACAATTGTTATATTAACCTTCAAAATGTTTAAAGTTAACAACCGCTTGCATACTGTCAAAAAACATATAGATATATGTATATACATGGACCGGGAACAAATATTGATTTTAATGCCCTAGTACAATGTTGAACAAGAAAACATCAAAGATATCTGATTAGGTAAAAATATAAATGGTTGAGCACGTTAACTATGTTGGAAGAGAAGGTCTACTTTTCCTGATAATTTATTAGCGGAAATTAATTATATTATTGTCACGTTTAATCATACCACGAGTTTCCACCGTTAGCTTTGGGCCCCAAGCGAAAAGTGCGACTATATCACGACTACCAGTATTAAACCAAAACAACTGGACTTATCAAGTTCGCAAACACTGTTTTTAATTTCCGCTGTACAGTCACTAATAAAGAGGGTTGTCACGTGTTCATACCAACCATGAATACCTAGTGGGTATATAGCCCCCACTATACCAGATCTATACACAAAAAAAAAAATAATATAATTATCCGGTATGCATGAAGCACACTGAGGCCGGGGGAATTACTACCTAGCAAGGTTTCACAGCAAATACTAGTTAGTAAGCGAAGCATCAAAAGCAAATCTTTGAAATAATTAGCGAATTCAGGTAGCAAATTCGATTATAGCAATAAGTCAGTAGTGACTCATAAAAAGCGACTTAACATAGCTAGCTACAAGCAATTTTAAGTATGTAGCAATGCAGGTATAGGTTAGGCCTAGAGGGTACTTGCGTGTCTGGAACACACAGTCTCCAATGTCGTCTGCTAGGTCAGGTCACGCCCCCAACGCCAAATAAAGTTGAAGTCCACAACCGCAAGATGAAGTTGAAGTCCCCATCAACAGCTATATCACCTGTTCGATGATCCAAAATTGACTCTCCAGCCCCATAAATAAACCCTTTGAGAAAAAAACTCGAATTAGAATGGTAGACGTGGATGGAGTCATCCCCAGAATCGTACATGCCTCCCACTCAATAAAAAAACAAATAATATCAGTGATAGGTGAGTAACACTCGGAGTGTCGACGTGAATAACAAAAAAAAGAAAAACAAAGGAAGTCCAAATTATCTAATAATCAACCCCCCTTGTAAAATTTGATCACCTGCATCAACGCCACTGACTTCATCTCCACGTTGAAGTGAATAAAAAAAATTAATACTGAGCTATGATTCGATTTAAACCTCATGAAAATGATTTAGGATAATAAAGGAAATAATAATAATCACCCCCTGTATATTAGAATTGATTACATGTGATCCTAGACCCAACTAAATAAAATCTTTCATAATCTATTCCTTTGATAAACAAATAGGGATAAACTGAACAGATATGGATATCACCCCCCCCCCACGGACTAGTTGTTAACCCGCTTCAGGAAGGCTTTTCCTAAATGGGATTTAGAAAATACACCCTGTATACTTGTATAATAATTTTGAATTTACCTGACCACAAATTCGGCAGCAAAGCTGAACGTGGACGTTGCCCATCCATTATCTGCAAAAGTGCCTTAAAAAAAATATTCACAAAATCTCTACAAAATATTTACAGAATATTTACAAGATATTCCCGAGCAATCGGCCAAAAATATGCCTTAGTGTACACGAAATTTACCAGCTTCTTCAAGTACTTTCGTTGTTTTTTTTTTCCAATATCAACAATAAACAGGACCACCCTGTAGGCTTTCCACTTTCAGGGAAAAATGAAAATAATAACTAGCAACTGGCTTCTTTGATTACATTCAAATTGGAAGTGTCGCAAAATTCATGTTTAGGTGCTGCTATTTCTTTTCAACATAGTTTCTAGAGTAAATAGCCACTATGGTTTTACATACCTTCTTTAGCTGAAGGGTTTTGATTCACTTAGATGATGAAGTCCTGCCAAACCAAAACACACACTACGCTGCAGTATGTAGATAGTTTAGGTTTTATTGATGCCAGATGTGTGGAAAACTGGCGGGTATAGGCCCTGTAATAATGAGACATTGAAGCCCTACTGCCAAGAGAGACAAGGTGATGCATTACTTACGGTTAGGTTCGTTGATTCCTCAAAATGAGAGTGAAATCGCCACAGTATACAAAAATACGTTCAACCAATAACTGAACACCACTTGGGCTGCAATTTTCACTAAATCTTCTGGCACAGCAATAATCCCACGAAAGGATGATTTAAAAACATCAAATCACAAAATACGCTGCACCAAAGTGAACCATTAAAAATCACAAAAGAGAATGACGAAACTGTCAAACTCTCAATTTGTGAAGGGGAAAGGGGGTATATCTCAACACCTTGGTCACCTGGTCAGCTTGCAACAGGTGCGAAGGTTTTACCTGTTCACCTGGAAGGGCATCCTTGTCTACCTCTGCTACTTGATAGAGATGACTATAGGAAATAGAATATCGCGTGAGCTCCCCGCGGTGGAGCAGACTAAGGAACAGACGACCATGCGCCGACCAATCATCGCGGGAGTTACTAGGTGACGTCATCAGTTAGGGTTTTTCGTCTACCACAATATGAACAGAGGACAGGTAATACGAGAATCTACGAAATTCAATTGCACCTGGAATTGATTATAGAGGAAAAGTTGAGAAATACGTATAAAATACTATGAAGGAGGTCGGTTATTTTGGTAATTTCAGGTTGGCTGCAATGAGTAACTACAGGGTGGCAACTCTGCTGAGCTCGTCAGACTGTCAACCAATGATGTCAGATTGACTTCGAAGTTATTTTCATTTATCTGGAAATTATTGACAATAATAATTTCCATCATGATCATCAGATCCGCGTTAGCATAATTAGACAAGGTGAGTACCAAATCATAACGAGAACATCTTGTCCCATTAATAAATCCTATCATTCCGACGTCCAGAATAGTTCAGGTACACACAACAAATGAAATAGCTATACAAACATTAACAGACTTCCTATTTTTCAAGTACTGGACCCAGATGTCTTGCATAATACCATGAAGGAAGACTGGCTGGTTGAATTTATCACCCCAAACAGCAATAAAATTATTCCTGGGCCGTGCCTAGATGAAACTCTACCACCTAACCTAGAAAACAGAAAATACATGATTTCTACCCAAAGTGAGCTAAATGGCACCAATTTAGTCGCCCAGCTTTTAGTGAGGAACCTCAGGACTATCATGGGATACTCAGAACTCAACATCTATTTTCCATAAACCTAACACAGCTGACAATGAAGATTCTGATTCGAAGAGGCTGTGTATGGTCATCTAAATGTCTTCTAGGTCAGACCTCAGGTAATTTTCTTGTCTGATAACTTACTTGCATTACAAGACTGATCTGTTGTAGGTTCTCCACCTCAAGAATATCAGTTTGATAATAGGGTAAGCTCTGGAAATCAACAAATGGAGTGAAGCAAGAATAAATAATACTGAGCCCAGTGACTGAATCAATCTCATGGTTGAAGTAAATGACATAACACAAGTATTGTATTCCTCTGTATTGTGATTCACCTTAAATAATTATGCAAATAAAGAAAATATACCGAATGTCAGAAATAACCCGTTACAAAAGCACTATTTTTGTTACGCAGCATACTTTTAAAATTGATTGATCTCGAAAATGGTAAGTGTCATCGAAACTAAACCAGAGTATCATTTTTAAGTAATAATTATGATATTTTTATAGTTCCTGGTCAAACTGCCGAAAATTGCATAGAAAAATAGTTGGGGGAAGAAAAGCAATTAGCCCCACCTATTTTCCTTGCCTCCAATCAAAATTTCGGAAAATTCTTATCAGTTCCAAATAGGGCATGAAAAGTAATATACATGTACAAAATTACGTTAACTCTTCACAGAGGGTTTCGGAAATACTTACATAAAACCATCATCTCGGGCCCTCTTTCAGATGGCTAATCTATCGTTGAAATCTTTATATGTAATTTCGGGACACCCTGTATATAGGAAAAGTTATTTTCGTCCATATACAATGTGAAATACGATGGTCAGGAATACTTGTTATTTTCAGTTTGATGGCAAAGGTCAGAATTTCCTTCATATTGCCATCAAAAAAGGGGACATCGAAAGTGCTTTATTTCTTCTTACCGTCCAAGTGGATGTCAATTCTAGAGTACAAGACCCAATGCTGACCCCTCCTATCCATTTAGCTGCTAGGCATGGCAACGAAACATTGGTCAGAAGCCTCATACTGGCAGGTGCCAGGGTTGATGATAGAGATGCTCAAAAGTAAGTGACACGAATGAACTTGAACATTCGAGACTTTTTGTTCGACAGCATTCAAACTCAGATGTTACACTTTTTTTTTCAACATTTCTGGTATTGTGAGTAGTAGAGGGACGCTCTTCAATTCACCGGTGGCTCCATCAATCCACCCACTGCCTTCATATATTCATCGGTGGATTCCACCACGCGTTCATTTCATGTTGGACGAATTTTGGTGGATTTTCTAATGGCAGCGTCAGCATAACCTCAAAAAACTAAAAACAAAACATTGAATGGGAAAGCTGTTTGCCATTTGCCTAAGAAAAAATGTGGATGAATTAATCAAAATCAGCCTAGAATATGAAAATAATAGAAAAGCTGCATTATTGACACCAACAGAAATTGAAGAAATTTCGAGTTTAGGTACTTTTTTCATTCCCATCATGAATTTCAAGAAATTAGTGCAAACATTCAGGAAACTGGAGTACCAACAGAGAATTCGTATTAATGACTATCATGCAATGTTTTGTATAGGTTGTTGAGAATTTTCAATCCATCTCGTCTACTCCCCAACATAAACAACATTTCATCCACGGAACTATCACAAGAACTGCTACAACTTTTGGATCTGGAGACAAGGAATCCAATAACACTTTCAATACATCATTTTCCATTTTACATCAGTTTTCGCCAATTCTGAGCTTCTGATTGAAAACAATCTAAATCCTTATCAAAACACGAAAAGAAAAATAAATAAAGGAAACAACAGTTGTGATTGTCATGTCAAATAACTGCGATTTTTTTCAACACTGATGACTCGAACAATTCGATGCATCAGAGAGTGACGTCACTTCCATCAATGATGAAAATGTAGTGTAACAAAGAACATGCCTTAGTTCAAAATCATATGCTCATTACAGTATACTGTCCATTGAAATAGTGTCACGAGTAGAACATACATACATATATTAGTAATTTCGAACCATAAGGGTTTCATAAACATTGAGTTAATCAAGTCATCCGTTGACATTGAACTATGAATACTGACCAATGAACTCTCATGAGAAACGTGCAAATTTAATAAAATTATGTATTAAATAGTGGATGTGAGGGTTCCGAAGTTAGTGTGGTCTGGGGCTACTCTTGACTTGACAAGAGCTCGTTGTAATGGTCATTATAGTGTAAGTTGTTATTAGGTCTTTATATTCATTGTTCTTTATTCATATTCATCATCACTACCCATAATCATAATGTTTCATGCTTCAATAAATATTGTTATGTTTGAATATAGTCTCATACTTTCAGCTACCCCTAAACTATTAGTAACTATTCGAATATTTATATATATAATATTTTTTATCTCCTCGCAAATTATTGCGCCAAGCATTACCCCTTATTAATCGATATGGATGGACTAACCACCTTTTATATTGTGACATGGTGAAAACAACCCTTTCATCGTGACATCTGTTATATCGTGACAATCGTACTATTTCTACAATTGAAGAGAAAATACTTTTATAAATCTACCCAGAACCCTAACAATTAACATAATCAACTCTTGAGAAACATCATTTACTACAGTCGTTAATTTATAATTCAATAATGGGGTTGTACATACTAGTCGAATTTTGCCCCATATCAATTTTATATTGATTGATTCATGTATTGATAGTATTTGACACTCATTCAAAATTTAAAATTACAATTTTTTTTTTCAATAATGAAAATAATCACCTCTCGATGACATGATATACCGATAAACACCAATAGTGTAATATTTCTCAACCACCAATGAAAATATATCCACATTCCATATAGAAATAAGAACCCACTGCCACAGTACGAGTATACTGAGATACACACAATATACAAATTGCATTGGATCAATAGCGGTATATGTCGTCACGCGTTATCCCGTTTCTTTCTTATGATCAAATATCGTCAATTTGAACAATTATTGAAAAAATGTACTGTTCTGGGGAAAAACGGTTTACGACAATGAACTAGTTTTGGTTAGGAATTCAAAAATTGGAATTTATTTTTTTACTGAAATAGGTCCATTGTTCTCTTTCACATACAGTGCTTATATAGTGTGTTTAATATTTCTTCGTGTGTGAATGGAATTTGCAAAGACCTACTCACAACTTGTTATCCTCCTTCAGAGTAGTATATAAAACCGCAAATTTTATCATGAAGTTTGTTGACATAAATCACAAAATTATTCTCGAAAGCAACGGGTCAAACGATTGCATACTTGGGTGTTTGTATGTCAGTACCCATTCGAGTCTGCTATTGCTAATAATCACGCCACACCTGAAAAAAATCCGAAACAGATTTATATTTCAGTAGCATTCAGAATGGTTTCGGTACACAAAGTTGAATCTTTAAATTAATAGATCCAATATAAAATCTTAACTTGAATGATTTCGGAATCAGTTATTCTCATTGTCTCCAAGACATCAATGAATGAAATCTGGCACCAATCCCACATTTTTACTCGAAACCAATTCACACCAAAACTTACAGCTAGCTGCGTTTTATTGAGGTTATGTTGTTATTGTTATCTATTATTTTATTTGTTCGTGGTCTATGGACGCGCTGTTTTCGTTAATTTATATGTTGATTATTTTTAAACAAGAAAGTCCAAGAGAATATTGCAAATTTTGAGTCCTCTGATAACTAAATGAGATATGGCTCAAAGGCATGTAAAAACATTGGATTTCATCTATCCTGAGCATAATTATTATCGAAAATTTGCACTTTCCTGTGTGATTATTTCGTCATAAATTTCGCGATTTGATAACGAGATGAAAATGATGCCATCCTTCAACAATTGAAAGATAGATCTCATAACCCTACCTATGCCACCCATTATCTTGAGTAAGATCCTCGGCACAGCGATTTTTCTGCTGCCCTTATTCTGGACCTACTTCTTCTTGTCATAGAGAAAAAATGCAAATAGTATGGGATAATTTTCCCTTGGCGAATATCCAAACGTGCCAAACTGGTTGGAGTTATTGGCAGATCATCATATTTCCGAAATATTTCACCCCTGTCGGATGTTAATAATAATTAACGAGCAGATATTCCTCGGATATTATCTTTGAATAAGGGCAATATCTACTCGGAGATATTGATACACTGCCACCAAGTTAGATCACTTTGAATCGCGGCACGTTTAAATATTCGCGAAGGGTTCACTATCCCCTTTTATTTGCATTTTCTTTCAAATCGTTTTCACGTGTCGGAATATCGGCAGGAAAAAAATCGATGTGCCGAGGATGTTATACTCAGATGAAGGGGTGGCACAAGTAGAATATTCAATTGGCATCAGCTGGCATAAAGCTTTATCTCCTTAGCAAATCGCGAAATCTAGCGCAAATTACCGCACAGGAAAGTGCAATTTTATTTTTTTTTCTGATCAGGATAGTGATTGGCAAAGGTTCTGTTCGACGAAATACAATTTTTTCACATGCTTATGGGATATACATCATTTCGTTATGGATATTTAATTACAAACAGCATATATTATCATATAAGCTAAATTTCTACAAGTTTCTTTGATACGTTATCGTTTGCCACCTGAAAATGTCTTGCTCTAATCAGTGTGAAACAAATTTGGAATATGGAAACTTTTCCATTCTAATGGTGCTGTTAGTTCACCATGACATCAAGTTCATGTAAAATATCTAGCATGTTTTATTCTGAGGAGGTACTTTTGTGGCTCGTTCGTTATTTTGTCGGAGCAGTCTGCTCGTCCGTCAAACGTAAAAACACGTCACAAATATATACAGTTCTCAACACACTAAATGGACCGAAATTCTTGCATTTCTTGATTTTTTCTCCAGAACTCCACTTGAGCTGACTATTGGGAAGAACTATTCTCATGTTTTGTGGAGGACAATGAAAGACGAAATAAGCACTATTGTGGAATATACAGGATGATAAGAAAATAGGACAAAATCTCATTTCAGTAAAAAAAAAAATGGTGACTAAAACCATGGCCCATTCGATTCAGTATATTCAGAAACGGCCTTCTCGATATCCATTATTTATATTAGACTATTAACTCGAAACGTTTTCGAAAATTCGCCTCTAATTGAAATACATGATGAAAATTTTCAATAGGCGAGAACACAATAGCACGAATTCAGTTCAAATGTGCATAAGTAATAAATATAACATTGAAATAATGTGTACCAGTAGTTTTTTCAACTATAAATGCTGTCATTATCCAAGGAACGCGTTTCCAAAACCATACAAATTTGTGGACCATTCAAAAAACCAATAATGGCGGATACGTGATGACGAAACAAGTATTGGCGTGCATTTGGCAACGCTGTACTGCACCTTCAAAATATTCTAACATATTTCCTAACCGAAAAAACCGAACTCCTAAACATTAGAGTTTTTCTGTGATTTTTCATATGCTTAATAGAATTGAATATTTTCTTGGATAATCAAAATATTCAAATCATTGTGACTATTATTGTGACATAGTCTGATGGTTCATGTTTATTGATTGGAGATATGAAGTCAGTATTCGAAAAAGCAATCACAATCTTCCAGTAGTTGATTCAACTATGGTAAAGGTGAAGATTAGTCTAGATAAAGTTCGTCCTACACCATAAAGAGTTGAGGCTGAGATTCATGAAGCTGAAGAAACTGTAGTCTGGATTGTGCAGTTTCAAAAGGTAAAAGGTACATAAATTCTTGACTTTTTCATAAACTGTATTCTTTTATATTCTTAGGTAGATGTAAACACAGTGTGGCTTTCTTATTATGGTTACATGGAAGATCAGAAGAACCCTCTGTACCTTCTATGGAGTGTTACTGAAAAGTGTCCAACTCAGTGTCCAAACTACCAAATTTTTGAGCTTCCTATCAACATTCATGCCACTTGTAGAATTAGCACAAAAACAAGTTCCTACCCTCCGAGTGGTTCCATCAAAATTTCTTGAGGAAGTTTTTGAAGTAGATGGAAAACATGGATGCCAAGGATAACTGTTTTTGAAAGAGTT